TGTACAGGTATGGATGATTTATTATTTGAATTGCATAAATTTGGTTTATGATGAATTTACACGGTTGCTGTTCTTTTCGAATCCAGTCAGTTGGGACTGTCTGCTAACTAGTCAGTTGATGTAGCACATTAATAAATATAGAATTGTTGTCTTCTCATGAAGGAAATAACCCAGGTCTGTGTTGGATGGATGATGAAACTTGAAGTCAATTCTCCTTTATAACTTGGCTGTGTACGTCATTGCACCTTATTCTTGATTTAGAGTCAGATGGTGTACTGATCTGAAGTGAGTAGTATATTTGTATCATTTTCTCAGCAGTGTCATCATCAGGTGGCATCAGAAGTGTGATGTATTCGATGCAAACGAATATCGGACATAACCCTGTGGAATTGTTTGACTGAAAATAAAGGCTATCGGGATGTTTTTCGTGCATAGTGTGGGTTATCGTGTCCATGCCTATAGAGGCGTTACTAGAGTCTGTTCTTGTTTCAGGCTTCCAGAGTCGGAAAACGCAATATTTCCGCTTATTATGTTTCTATTATTGCGTGAAACTGTTTTGATATCCCTGGTGGATTATTACGAGGAAAGGCATGCACTAGGAGAAATTAGCCATAGAAATGGATTTTCTTTTTGTTTGAGAGCCTTGAAGGTCTTATATTTGTGAATGGTTTCGATTTTCGCGTTGTAAATTGACTAAAGGCAACGGTTAATATTATGGCGGTTATTCTATGAGATTCCGGCCTTTGATGGGAATAAGCTCACAGACACAAGTGAGATGCCTGTCTTGAGGAGTGTGTGAGGTGTGTAAGATTTTATTTCCATCCAGATTAAATGGAATTGTCCATGACATATCGTGGTCAGACAATGAAAGAGGCAAGAGGCTGAATTTTGCTGTGATTATATCCATGTGGTTCACGGTTAAAATTTCTCAGCCAAACATGTGAAACTAATTGAATTAAATTTCCCACATGAAAGACCGTAACTGCCTACCGCATCAAGTGGCATCAGCTTATCTAGATATCAGTGTGCATTGAGACAAGGAGAATGCTGTGCATGGTTCCTCTGAAACATAACACCGATCACAGTTATTATGACATTTTTGTCGAAAAGTAGCTTTCAGGTATATCCTACCACCAATGCACCTGTCACATGGGTTATACCAGTGATAATAGTCACTCATTTTCAGATCACCAAGGTATTCTGAACTCCTTCAGGAATTATGTGTGTCTATGATGGATATGGAAGTTGTACTACTGACTCATATTTTTCAACTACTTATTCGTACACACCTCAAACAAACAGACTTTGTTATGTTCAGGCTAAAATGCTTAAGCATATGCAGTTATTGTATGCTATTATCCGTGAAGGACAGTTGAGGAGAATGAACACGACATCAAGCTCCCTTTAAAGTCAATAGGAATGCTACATATTTTTGATAAGAAGCTTCGTCAAAGGAAATAATTTTAACGGATAGGAAGAAGTGTTACTCCGGTTTCCATAATCACCACCCTTTAGATGTGTGAACCATCCTTCAAAGTTTAGAATGACATCACAACATGAAGTCGTCGTTTGACTAGTGCTATAATTGACGAAGTGAGTTTCGAGCCTGAGCATATTGACGTTCATGGACAGAACGAAGCATACTAACGCAAGATTTAATAGTCACAACTTCTATAGTATTCGCTCCGCATAGACCAAAGGCGAAGCAAAACACCAGAATCGATCGTCTAAATTACAAAGTATATTTCGGGACTGAATCAGAGTGCGAGATGATTCCTTAGCTAGCTAGGAATCGTGCACGAACGAACGAACGACCATGACACGAAGGAGTACCCAGTGGCGTGGATGCTTGACCGGCAGCCTTCAGCTAAACAAGTTGATTTAAACAGTGAAGGCCAGCATCCAATGTTCAGTGGTGAATGCAGTGGCCAATAATTCTGGAAAATTATTTTCTCCTACAGCTCACTCCCACCCTAGTGGGGTTGTGAGGATTCCCAGGCTAAACCTGTCGGAGGTAAAAAAACCCAATGGCTTCCTCATCGGCAAAAAGCTTACGAGCGGCTAGATGTAGTCCCCACTGGTCGTCTGCCTATGCTAATAGGGTGTCTGTACATCGCTTCCTTCATGTTTGTCTGTTGGATCTCGTGCTGCGTTAGCTTCTTGTCCAGTGCCCATCGCACCTGGAAAAGAAAACAATAATGCTAAGAACCTTGTTGAGGAAGATGTACCAAAAGTACCGTTTGCAAGATGATATGCATCCATACACCATACAGTACAATAATGCGAAAAACAGAACATCGAAAGTATATATCCAATTATTTTATTGGATGTAACATATACGGTTATAGAAAAGATTTTTACTTGTGTTGCGGGACGCAATATAAAAAATAGATGTGACTGAAAGAAAAAAATTAATAAATACCACAAACGAGTAAGAGTTTGATGAATCACACCACTTAGTTATGTGATATAAGTGTAAAGACGTTCTGGGAATCTCACGTCTTGTCCAGAACGTGTTTTCTTTGAGGGCTCGACAGTAGGTTCGGTGAATTTCGCCGCGCTAGTGACTTCTTCGAGGACTAACGGATATTCGGTTACTTGTGTATTATTAGGAATGCTAACCTCTAGGCTAATAGGATTGCCTTCTAAGTAGGCAGGTTTCAGACGGTTGATGCTAGCGGTGTCTTCGCGACACTTATTGTCTAAGACGAAGAATTTATCCATACGTTTAATGACTTTATATAGTCCGTCGTAGAAGGGTTCCAGAGGGCGACGCACAGAGTCACGACGAACAAATGTGACGAAGTTTTCAAACACGGGTGAACAAAGACGTCTATTGGCTGTGGTCGAAGGGTAGCAGGTTTAACTGAACATATTGTGTTTGTAAGCCTCCTGACGTATGAGGCGTGATCTACCGCTGGTGGGATGCTAAAGGGAGAATCTAACTCACCTGGCGGTCGTAGTGTTGTGCAATACTAGCTCGGCGATTGTACAACCAGCATCAGTTATCAAGAGGTCTCGGATCCCTGGGAGAAATAACGGCAGTGATTCAGTCCAATGTGCATTGTTTGCAGCTGATAACCGAGCTTTCAACTGTCTGTGTGGACGCTCGACTGTACAATTAGCTTGAACGTGGTAGGCTGTTGTTCTAAAACGCATACAACATATGATTTTAGTCAGGGTGAAGAATAAGCCGCCTTCGAATAGCACATTACGTGCATTAGCTTCTGAATGAAAACCATAATTGATTCTGACTACCGACAACTCGTTCTCGAGTGATATCACTAACGACAGCTTAAGAATCGATAGTTACAATATTTTTCGAGGGGACAGAGGAATAGGCAGTGACAATGCAACAATAACTCATACTGAGAATTGCCTACGCACAAGACAATCCAGCTACCCAATTCTGTCATGAAACAATAACTTCGTTTGGGTGAAAATAAGAACAGAAGACAGGGGCCAACCAGCAGATCATTTATTAAGAAAATCAACACATATTTATAGATTTTTTTGTACATTATTATTCCTCATTGTTAGCAGAAAGGTAACGTTCTCTACTTGTTTGTTTTCCTGCTGAAGGTTATCCTGTCATGGGTTTGTAGGCGTTTCTTGGACAGTCCGTTGATATTTCTGCTAATCGAATCGGTTCACGCAGTCTGCTTTCATTAGTTTTTGAGTCAGTCTTTTTTTTATAGTTTGGTTTGTAAAGGTTAGTTATGTTTTTAAGAGTTAATCGCGGATTGATATCAGTTACAGAACCATTGAAAACCAGGAGTACTGGACAGCTGTTTCATCCTAGTCTTTGTCCTTTTTTTCCAATGATCAAGATTTGGGATGTAAACACTGACTTATATGGCTGTCTACCAATTCTGGCTAGCAGACAGCTCTCACCACACTATGATAACATACTCAGGAGCATTTTTAATGCTACACATAGTCTTCCATACAGTTATTTGAGGGTGATTTCAATATACCAGAAGTATCATAGAGTTCATTACGAGGTTTCCTTCGAATTTTGAATTCCATCTTAACAGGAGGGTGGACACAACACATAAATTCACAATTATTCAAGACCTTATTTTCACGAACAACTTGACACCAACTGCAATACATGAGTTTCTGAGTAGCCACGGCGTGTAGAAAAGCATTTTTGAGATCGCTATGACAATGGTAATTATGATAGGGGAAACTGGGCGAAATGGAACAAGAGTATCCAATGATGTAAATAGTACTTGAGTTAGCAGGAAATAAATATTGATTTTCAGCAAGAGGTTACCATAGCCACATCGGATGTCTACAGATGTATACATGTGTGCGCTACAGACAGTGTCCGATTTAGTTACCCCAAGTAACTTTCGCGGAACAACAGAATATGTATCCCTCTTTCAGCTTTCCTAACAGAAGCACCTACTGTGTCAAATATATTTGAACCTGAAGCTGGCATTTTAGAAGTTGCTTGGAGGTGAATACTTTGTGAATTTTGTCATTCAGGGCGCTCAATTCCAAGTAGTAAATATTGAAATCGCTCAATTAAATTTGCGATTTTCGGTGCTAGTACTTGGCGCTGACATCTCTACCGCTCTATTTTCATATTCGATTCACCGCCCAAATTCCTCTGTTAACACCTCCGCCTACTCATCTTAGTAGATAGACACTGAAGATAGTCTAATTCAAACATGTGATGGCAACAAATGGAATAGTAATCTCTTGACTGTTGATTTTGAAAATGCACCTTGACAACGTATACCAATACACGCTGTAAGCAATTTGGGATCCGGTGCATCTGATTACATACGACATTGTCTACATCATCGACAATAAGTAATTATTTTAGTGCTCATGATACCTACACGACTATAACTGTTGTCTTTGCAAAGTTTTGACAAATTTCTCACACTTCAAAGGGGAGAAAAATCGTGATATATATATATATATTGACTTCCATTCGAAATACAAAGTATTACTTTGCTTGTTGCACTAACTGGACTCTCGCCATAACACAGTATCCATATCCATCAGTGTATAGAAACGAAGCAAAATATCTTGCAATGACTTTGAGTTAAGTCAACTATATAGGTCAAACTAGTAGATCAGGATTGGTCAGATTGTCGGAACACAAGAATTTGGCTAAGGTAAGAATGGTTGGTTTACCCCGAAAAGAAAAAAGCTCAAAGATTGCACCACATGCATTAACACACAACCATACAATAGGGTGGTGGAGGGTTAAACTTCTAAGAAGTAATATAGGAAGGTGGAGAAGGAGGTTGATTACTGAATCTTGTTCATCGAGTCTACATCCAACATGTTCAATAGGAATGACTCATCACTCATACCGGAAATATGGAAAGTACTGCTACCAATCAAGTCAAGTGATGAAATATAAACGAAGCAAGAGAGTTATGTGAGTACCTTGATATGATTATGAGTGGCAATAAACTGTGCTCGAAACGTCATTAATAAATATTACTGGATAACTTTATCGAAATAAAATTTTAGCCATCATGAACTATAATGAACAATTTACACATGAGGATTGTGGTTTCCTAACTCCAATACTTCCATCAAAAAGTGTAATAGTAAAACTTTATAATATCAAGATCAGTTTCACGAAGTTTTATATCCATCTGTATTTTGAATGGTAAAAAATTAATCTGTACACTTTCAAAGAATCCTGCTCACAAAAGTGAGTAATAACAGACAAGAGAAAGTGTAATCTCTCTATAGATTTTTATGAATATAAATTTAGAAAAATATAATGTCTAAATGCAAAATTCTGTAGAAATGCAGTAACCGATCACTAAACTCCGTTCAAAAAATCAACAATAATAATTATTATTTAGTTAACTTCACTCATATCAAGATGACATCACCACTTTCCACATATGGTCGAATACAACTGTATGGTAAAAGATGTTGAGCACCAGGTTCCAACGTGAGTGACACAGACCTAATAGTACACAAAAAATGCAGTAGTGTATATAGAGTAAAGACAAATTTAGAAAAGATATAATGACTGCATTAAAACAATCATTGCAAATGAGATTTTAAAAAAAGTGTTGCCAACTACTTCTTCTCAAAAATGAAACCTGCGAGGATTCAGAGTAATTCCTAAATTCTTCATTCATATATGAGTCTCCAACAGAAAATGCAGGTTGTGTGTACATCTGATAATTAGTTAGACATTTACTTAATTCAGACATCTAGAAAAAACAAAATAATTTAGCATATAACATTCTCCTCGATAATATTGTGAATTAATGGTGATGTAAAAATAGTCATTGTTAGGCAACAAAGAATAGTTATATAGGTGTACCATATTAAATAATTGTATTTACGTATCGCTGTTATTTCCACATATTTATCTCGCTGTAATATAATAGCCACCTGAAGTAGGTGGTTTATACTCCCTTACGTGGCTTCTACCAACAATCAAAGTCTTCATTGCATCAAAGTTACACTAACGGTCTTACCATTCGGAACTGTTTACCAACCCAATTTGATCAGTCAGAAATGCTCATCGAGGGAGACAACGGTTAGACACTAGTAACACACGTTACAATGTATTCATTAGATATGAAAGGAAATGAAATGTGACTGCGAAAAGGCAATACTTGCTTGACTGACATTCATTTTATTCAGTTATCTATGTTAATCTAAACGAGTAGGATGGGATTCTAAGCAATAACATATTCAATAGGCTGAAAATGTCATTTGATGAAATTTATTTTCCCAGAAGTTCTGCACAATGAACGCTAAATTCCCACATTGAGTTATGAAAAGATATATCACAAAAAAGAAATTTTGATTTATCATGGGTCAGTGAACTCTGTCTCAATGACTGAACAGTGATATGCTTGCCCCCGAACCTGAAGGTCCTGCGGCTATGATTCCAGGTGAAACTATACGTGTGTACTGAAGAAGACTCCCAGACTTCATAAATAACTCTTCGTTATTCAAATAGATTTGACTTGTTAATGGCTTTTCCACTACATATCCCATATCCAGTTTTAGAAATTCAGGTTGACTCATATATCCATGATGACGTCACCTCTGGTGTAGGATGGATATCCAGCTATCAAAAAAGGACGTGTCTACTGAGAAGCAGGACAATTCGCTCTTTGCTTCTTTATTGATGTGAAATGCGCTAGTTGAAAATGGAAGAATTGAAGAGGATAACTGGTTTTGACCATACTTGCTTGTATTCCATCTCTTGTGTTAAGCGATATAAGTACTATTGAAGTTGAGAGTTGAGTGGCAGGCAGCCAAAGAACGCTGATTGGTGATGTAGTGAAGCTGCATCAATCGGGATGCCTGAGACGCATATTTCACATGCCGAGCTACTACTTTCCTCATCGATTAATATTAGCTGATATCCAGTTAGGTTGGATGAAAGTTATAAGTGTGTAAATAAACACGAAATTTTTCACTGTTGGTTTGAACCACGTGGGAAGGTGTAGATCACCTCCTGTTTAGGGCCCTCGATACGTTAGGAACTATAGTCACAAGATTGCTGGTGACATGACTCAAAATTGTCCTTAACAGAGCAGATATATTCATTCTTTATGAACTCAAACATCCATCAAATTATCCTTATTTTCCACTTATATATCCGTTCGTCATAATTCTTTTGAATCTATACCTGTTTTATTTGAGCAATGACTTGAACTGACCTACTTTTTTGTGCAAAGTTCTACGTTGGAAACTCGGTCCGACATCTATTCTGTAATACTGTCTGAATTTACACTTACCTATTTCCTTCTAAATTATTCCCTAAGTTATGTAAGAGCGTTTTCTGGAAAATAATTACCGGAATTTCATTTGTTTTTTATAAAATATCAGTTGAATATTTAAAAAAACGATCGCATAGCTTCTAAAATAATTCATCAAAAAACAAAAATTCTCTTCACTATGGAGTTTTCCTATTCTCACATAAAGATAATGAAAAAGCAGGTATATAGACAACAGGTATGGTAAGTAAGGAGTAGTTAAAGAGTAGTAGTTCACACACGGATGACTGACTCAATGATCGTGAAGCTGTGACAATCAGAGTAAACTAAGTTAATTCAAATGAAGAAATAGTTTACTTGTGGAAACTGTTCGAATAAGCGTAAGAATATTAAACGAGTTCTCTAATTTACAATTTGCCTGAATAACTTTCAGTTTTTCATAGAAGTGAGTGTCTGTGTTTGTGTAAACGACCATTAGAATGAGGATAAGAAAACAGATTCGGAGTTAGGTAATGAATTTAGCCTGATCAACCTATCGGAGTGAAATGCTTTACTTATATACTGAATAGATACTCAATTTATCCGTTATTGGTGTATTGTTTATTTTGAAGTGTTGGTATGCAGGGATTCGATTGATATCAAGTATAATCACATAGTAACTTCAGCTAGGGTACCACTGAAAATCAAAGAGTATTGAACAGCTGTTTCGTCCTTGTTTGGGACTCGTCAGCAGTGAGTACGCATGTTCCCACCTGAAATCGAACCTAAAACATTCATGTTACAAGTACAGTTCGTTGACCACTCACGGCCATTGGGACGGAATTCAGTTGCTGATCAATTCTAAACTCTACCAGTCAGTGATCTATAGCGCGAACGATATCTAATGTCTGCGGTGAGTATCTGTCCCCAGGGCCAACTTGGTAGACCCCAATGATCACGACTTCCCACTACAAGTACATTCTGTAGACCATCACTGGTAAGCACTAGATTAATTTTCAAATGTTGTCCTGCAAGGATCCGATTGATTTCAAGTTTGACCACCAAACAACCTCGGTTAGACAACCACTGATAATCAAGCATTACAGGGGCACTCGTTTTGTCCGTGTATTACTTACTACCTACCAACGAAGAATCTATTGCTTAACAAATGTGCCGAAGAAAATTGAGATGGACTGGACACACGCTGAGAAGACCGTTGGGTGACAGGTGCGCCAGCCATCGCTCGAGTAGGACCAGAATGAGAAACGACGAGTCGGGTTTGGGTGTGAGGGTGACATGCGGGAGGTCGGGTGAAGAAGGGATAAATGCCTACGGGCAATCGTGGTGACAGCTAAACAGGACTGCAGAGAACAGGGTGAAATGGACATGTGCTGTTGAAGCCCTATGTTCTGACCGGAACCTAAGGGAATACCAATGATTATAAATTTCTCCATAATACATCTATCGCCTACAGAAACCATGACTGGTTGGTTCAAATTTCACCGAATCGATCATACCTATGCATTTGTATTCTTTAATTTAGCGATTCACAGTTATTTACAGATAAAATATAAATTCTCACACGTATAACAATCTGTTGTTTTTCCATCAAAAGAGACGAAGAAAAAATAAACAGACTTACGTTTGACTACCATCAGTATTATAATCAAATGCTTCGATGTAATCAATTTTCTTCAGCGATCGACAGAAGACATAACTGTTTGGATTTGGATGATATGCTTTACGAAAGTGAAAAAGAAAACTTATGTTGATTTTAAAAACAAACAGAAAGAATACTTTAGGTGATACTATTCTTTTGATACTCTGCTTGATACTGGTTGACAGTGTTATCGAGGAGTCACATTTCAATCTGTTTGAGACTCCTTAGCGGGGTGTACTTGCATAGCCAGGGGAGTTGGCGCTGGTGTGCCTACTCAGACTCAAACCCAATACTCCCAAGCCTTCTCCACACGTTAATCTCAAGGTATCGTCCGAGTGTCCTTACTGACTGACTGTTTTCAACACGGAACTTTGCACAGAAGTGCAGCAGTTCGAATTGACACACTCCATGTAGCCCACAAAGCAATAGAAGAGAGTGACGAGATTCAAAAGAGAAGCAACAAACAGGAGCGTGAAAGAAAAAGAAGAGAAATATTGAAGAACAATAGAATTTTATCAGATAAGACATATTGTGGTGAGAGCTGGCTGCTAGACAAATTGGTAGACAGTAATTTACATCAATGTTTATGTCCCCAACACTGAGAACAAAGCCTTTGCGTAGGCGGATACAGTCAACATATAGATGGTCTGAAATTCAAGAAACAGCCACAAAGAGATGCAAGGTTAACTTTCTGTGAGAAACAACTAATCAGAAGACTCTGTTTTTCTGCTAACAATAATCTATAATATGTATATGAAAATCTATAAATATGTGTTGATTTCCTTAATAAACGATCTGTTGCCTGGCCCTTGTCTTCTGTTGTTACAATATCACAAAGAGTGGACGTATCTGCACCACTGAGAACAATTTTTAACCATGTTACTAATTATCTTATCATCCCGAAGACCCCCAACCAGACCGCAGTCTACATCTACCCCACGTGGCTTGCTTAAACGAACTGCAATGAATTTCATGGATTGATTCCATGATTTGGTGGACGTTGGTTGATGCAAAATTCCCAGATAAGTGAAGTGGTCAACACGTTCTACCACTTAACTTCCTACTTTTTAAGCTAGGAGTCCATGTAGTTTAGTCCTGTAGCATCATCTTACATTTGACAGGAGCGAATCGCATGCCAAACATCCCACGATTGATGCTCAAGATGTCCTTACTAAGAGACACTAGTTGAACAAAGACCAACCATAATAATCAATAATCAGTAAACAGGAAAGTTAAAATAATAATTTCAATAAATGTGGTCAAGGAGTAAAATATATGTTTTTACACCTGTGTTCCCATAATTAGTCTATACGAAGTAAAGGACGTGAAGACACCGAACAAGATAAAAAGAGCTCATTTTGTCTCACGACTTTTCTTCAGCTGACAACTGTCTAGGGTTCATTTAACTTATGGTATATGAAAGCACCAATGACTTTGAATTGATAAATCATCATCGTTGGCCAAGGAGTTCAATCCGTTATTTTGATCTTCACTTACTGACTTGAAATCAGTATTAAGTTTCCAAACTTACTTACTACTTGTTTGTTTATGTCATGATTTTACTTCTACTTTTCACTCTTACCTTCTTAAACTTTACATCATATTATGCATAAATTCACTCTGTTCGTCCATCTTGTTTGAGTCTCTAGTTAATCCTTACTTTCAACCGAAATTTTTACTCTCCTTTCCCTTTCTTCCTAGGTCGTTAGTTCGCCTTAGCGTCTCAATAACAACCCAGCCATTAAACGGCTAAATCCAAATCTACGTACACAGAAAGAGACAGTGGTGAACCCGGCTATGCCTTGCTGATAAAAAAGCACGCAAATTTTACTAAGTTATCTCTCCTATTTAGGAAACTTGATTTCTTCGTCTTAACATGACTCATCTGCGCCACCTGTAGTTGAAACGATGCTGCTCAGCAAGGTAAGTGAAAGAGGTGATTTCCTTTAGATTTCCCCAACTGATGGCGGTCGATCTTTGTTGTCTCCTGCCTTCACTGCCTTTTCTGCGAACCTCTTGGTTTCCGCCTATAGATTTTCGAGTTTGTGTGACATTAGACACAAATCGCCTGCGAAGTTCAAAGCTTCTAGAGTCTTCTTGTTGGCTGAAGTTACGTCTGTCTATTCACCTTTCACCGTCTACCGCATGATCCAGCCCACCATAATCAGGAATATCATCAGTGACAGTAGACGGTCTTGTCTTCACTTCGAAGGCTGTGGTGAGCTTTCCATCCTGAATCACTAGCATGTGGCATCATCATCATCATATAGCTATTCAACGAGGTTGACGAAGGTTTGGAGCACTCCGTAGTGTCAAGTAGTCTCCAAATTACTTCACAGAGGACATTATCTAAGGACTTTTGAAAGTCGATGAAGTTGAGGTAGTCTTGTTTTCTGTTGTAGACTCTGCTCGATGATGGCATGTAGCGTTGCAACTTAGGGTGCGCTTGGTGTGCTTTTACTGAATCCGAATCGCCCCAGGCGGGGTTTCGCCTCCAGAACATCTCTCGACCTCCCCATAAAACTGGACGGCTGGCTGTTTCGGCCTAGTTTAGGACCCTTCAGAGACAAGCATCCACGATACTCACTGAGAACTGACTCATGACTTTAAGGCGACGGTCATTCAACCGCTAAGACGAAACCCAATGACTTATGTGTTCTAACTCCCGAGAATCCGCGATATATAATGGCGTTACCAGACAGTAATGAGCGATTATGTATTCTCAAATCTAACTTGAAACACCCTGCTGGTCACGACTTTCTGACTAGAACTCCAGCAACTCCATCTTATACTTAAATTTTCACGTACTAGTAAGGCTTAAGTGAAAGCCTCTTTGGGATCCTACTGTTATTTAGATTTTCATTTCACCCAATAATCATCACCCATTACATCAATTACACATGCATTATCAAGTAATTAAACAGAATAATAGACTCACCTAATTCTTCATCTTTAACAGATTGCATATTAGCCGGTAAACGATTAATAATATTATTCTTTAAATAATCTCGAATACTGTTTGCATATCTACAGGAACAACAACAACAACAGGAAGAAAAATCACTGTGATTAACTGTTCTCCTTTCATTTTCCTTTTAAAACATGTCAACTTACGATTTAGCAAAAAGGTATTCTTCTACAGTTAAATGCGGTGGATCATTCGGATTACGTGATCGTTCTTCAGCCAAGACATGTTCAGCGAATCTTTCAATCTTTCAAAAAGAAAGAAAAACACCGTCGATTCAAACACCATCATCAGCATGTATTGGACGACGAAATAAAGTGTTAAGAAAAGTAATTAAATGATATTTGCGATAACGATGCTACCTGATATATATTTACGGATCAACGATACTCACTCATTTTATCTGTGACACATGACTGAACAATGCAGTCGAAAGAGTTTGAGTCACGAATACCTTTGATCTTTTGTGTTTAAGATGAAACGACCTGGACAGATTTTTCGTGTATCAGACTGGGAGCCACACTTATTGTGTGAGGGCTACTACAGTTGTTCAGGTACGGTCTGGTACGACCTACAGTGGATAGACTGTACTCTAGCCCTAAAAATGATGTCATGTGACCATACGTTCATAGCCTCCACCACTTAAGCTCTACTCACTATCCCCACGCGACAGAGGTGAAAGGGCAGGTCTGAACAGTTGATGCCTACAACCGTACTGGTGGACATGCAACTGCGAAACCCTAATTTTAAACATATGGTGTACATAAATTCCACAGGCAAGGAAGCACGAATCCGTGACCCGCCGGATGAAAACCACATGCTTAGGCCGATAAGCCACATATCTCCACATTTGATCTCTTGTCAATAATAATGGAAGCTTGTAAAAAAAGTCAGTTAACATAATGATTTTTTTCAAACACTTGCCGAGAGAGTTTCAACACAGAAGTTAATTAAGAGGTACACAACAGATCATATAGTCTTCAGGTCTTTGCAAAAGGCGATGACATACATTAATTGTAGTTTCCAACCAAATAATAAACGCAACACAACCATATGAGAAAACCAGTAATATATCCTAAATGAAGTATACGCAAAATCGAATGACGTAACTTCAAGATATAAAAGAGAGAATGAAGTAACTTTACTTCTTTAAATAAATACCCACCTTACACCTGTTTGACCACCAAAATGGCATGTACATTAAAATTCTTTTCAAAAATTTTCAACTTAAAACAAAATTTAATTATTCAAATACTGAATATTACCTTTTTAATACGAACCCGCATATAATCTGCAATAATAAAACGGATTCGTTCAACCTGTTGGAAAACAGAAATGGAATACAATAAACACTTGGCAAAATAGTTATCATATTAGAAAAACAAACAATAATCCAGTATAAAAAGTAATGTTACCATAAACAGCTATGTTTGTGGGACGAGTTACATTGGCCGCTGCTCTAGAAACTGGTATTTTCGTGCTAGCTCCAGAACATCTACCTGTGTGGCTAACTAAAGGTGTAGTGAGAACCACCAATAGCTCAGTATAGAACATCTGGTACAAACCGGCCGGCCACAAAACTAATAATCATCTCATACATTTATTCCCCTTAATGAATTTGAACAATGCAAGAACTACAGTTTTAGCAGAATAAAATGGTACCATCTTTTATTTCGTTGCCTTCTCGTCAGCTGCTTACATGGCAAAGACATTATTAAATATATCTACAACAACAATTTTAACATACTTGCACAGAGTTCAGTTTAAACAAAAATCAATCGATCAATATACTCATACACTAAAAATATATACATATATGAATATGCAATATTAACCACTATTCCGAACAATAATAATCAAACACAATGGAAACTTTTAGCATTTCACATTCGGAGGAAAGAGAGGTGAAATTATCCAGTTACCAGGGCAAAGAAAGGCTGATAACCGCTTCTTTCTGGACGCATAAATCAGGTTTCATGCGCTTGATGGAAATGGCTTCAGCAAACTTAAGGAGAATTGAGCTATTTTGCTTGTTGATAATTTTGAACGACTTTTCAACGTCCACCTCATGACCCGTGTCGAGAAGATGCCTGGTGATGGCACTATTTAAAGCATTTGTTCCCTTTAGACGTAAGCTTTTTGGTACATGTTCAGAAAATCGTAGATATGCCCTACTTTCCTCCGAATGTGAAATGCTAAAAGTTTCCATTGTGTTTGATTATTATTGTTCGGAATAGTGGTTAATATTGCATATTCATATATGTATATATTTTTAGTGTATGCGTATATTGATCGATTGATTTTTGTTTAAACTGAACTCTGTGCAAGTATGTTAAAATTATTGTTGTAGATATATTTAATAATGTCTTTGCCATGTAAGCAGCTGACGAGAAGGCAACGAAATAAAAGATGGTACCATTTTATTCTGCTAAAACTGTAGTTCTAATAATCAACTATCGGGTACCAAACAAATTGCCGAAAAAATCCTGGTACCATACACTCAAAACTTCAGAGGCTATCGCAATTCGTCTGAAACAACCTGTGTTATGTGTGCAGAAGAAACAAGTCCATTTATCCACTACTGCTGCCTTGGCCAGCCTTCAGTGGACACTATAAGTTCATGAATTTGTGTTATTATCTTTCCTAATTTTTCTGATATTCAATATATTATTATTTTGATGCTATCAAACTGTAATCCATTGATATCATTATTATCGATTAGATGTTATTTAGACATCATTAATGTTGTTAGTATCACTAATTCATTCACTGTTACGTGTATACAACTGTAGAACCTGATGATGAATCTATCGAAAAGAATATTCTCCGTTCAGTAACCATTCTTTTTCAAAATATTTCCTCTTCATAAAGGATTTACAGGTAGAGTAATAACCTGAACTATGTGATGTGACTTTGTTGCATTTGAAGAGAGAACTAATTCTGTACACTTTTCCCCATTTCCTTCAAAAATTGCACAATGTTTAGCAGGAGGCTAATTAAATATGTGCGCGGGTTCATGCACTGATCATCTGACATAATTGCATGATTAAAACAATAAGAAATCCAGAAGAGTTTAAACATTTCGATGAATGGAAATTCTGGTAGCCCAGTGATTAAAGCAGGTGGCCGCGATATCCTCATCTCTCACGCACACGCCATTACCCAACACATATACCGTTCTCTCCAATAGTAAACTTATACGGATACTGTTACATATACCTTCCATCTCACATCACTATGTGCTCTCGCTTACGTAGAGCGGGCTGGGAAAACAGGTAGCTATCGTATAATGGTGTTGGCATAGTCAGGAGGTAGAGTGGTCAGCGCGCCTGTGCTCAGCATCGGAACACCTATCGTATTTCAATATCAATGGCTATTGAGAAATTATACGGTCGCAACATCATAACAGAAATCAAGGGTGAAAACCTAAAGTTGATTGACTCCCAATATCTAAGGCTGAATGACGACAATCGCGATGTAGTACTACCCACCCAGCTTACTCATCATTTTACAAACTTAATCAATGGACTTTGATTAACGCTATGAACTTGTGAGGTGCATCGGTCATAACTAAATGATCTAGTCATATACATCACTGGATTATATGCATACTGAAACACAATTTGGAATACTTTCACTTACTTGAATTCGTTTCATTTGAGCTTTTAAATCACCAGCTGGTAAAGATTTCGCTTCAGACTCTAATTGATTAACTTCAGTTTGAATAAGACCTAATAAGTCAGAGTGTGCAGTTAGCAGTACAGGTGCAATCTTTTCATTTTGCCATATCTGTAAATGTGTATATGAAACAGTTCTGAATCACGATACACTTATTACACAAAAACAATCCAGTTTATTTTAGAAATATTACCCAGAACCTACCGTGTGGATATGTGAAGCAATTAGCTAAAACACAGGATTTCATCTTAAAAGATCCGAAACTCAAGTTATGCCACACCTGATTAGGTCTTCATGCAACAATTCTACGAGATGGCGTGGAATATACTAAATCTGTTCCAGGTAACTGAGTTACCAAAATAAATACTAAGCTACTAATCGGTACAAATCGAAGTCACTGTGGATGCAGCATCGTTAACCTCCGGCTTAAATTGCCATTACTTTTAGTAAGTATCGGAATGGCAACTAACTCAACAAATATTGGCACAGATTCAAATGAAGATCGATTCTAACTTGATTTCGTCGACAGTTGATATGACTGGGTGGACTTATACGCGGGCATATTAACACCATGGACAACTTAACCGAAATGCTACATATGGTTATTCGTCCTTGGTAACTTCTGTTTCACTGAGCCACATAACTATCAAAAGACAAAGACCGGCCTGTTATTGTTAGTGGAGAAGAGGCTATTTTCTCGTCGAAAGTTATTCTGTTATCTCTTTGTAGCCGTTTCTCGGAAAATCAAGCCATCTATCTACGAATAATATTTCCACACGTTAACTCCGTTGTGGTTGGTTGGTAATTTTTTCAAGGTTAAGCTTTGTTATTGTTTTTCTCATGAGCCTCGTTCGGGACGTAAACATTGACATCAATTGTTGTCTACAAATTCGGCTTGCAGACAGCCCTCACCACACTAGTAGTTACGCTAGCTCTGTATCCATCTTCCTATTCACCTTATTGGACAGAAATTATGCATCTAACATCTGTTCGGAATGGATTTCTTATGTATCAAGCCATTAACCACAATACTTGTATTAGGGCTGGTGTTACTACCCAATTAACCTGGAAAGATTCGAACCCACGACCCACTGGCTGAAAGCCGAGTGTTTAAGATAATGAGCTACATCCTTGCAACAACATTTGAGCTGCTAGTCTGTTTAACTAAGTCTCCTATAGGTTATCAACACATGCGTGAATCAAAACCACAGATGAAACATTTCTCAAAACTCAATCATATTATACAAAGTGTGTCATAGTTCTTGACAAGCTGGACAAAACACAAACATACTTGATATAAACGTTCTAATAATTCAGCGGAAGTAAGTACCTCCTCATTCGATTGGCTTTCTTCATCTGAGTCTCCAATGATTTCATCAAGATCTGGTGCTAAAGGACCACTCGTACCGTTATGATATCTAGCCTAAAATAGTACGACGAAAAACAGTGAATGCAAAGAAGTGTGAAGTAATTGCAAGTTAGATCACCAGCAGATATCAGTCAGCTGTTTCGTCCCAGTCTGTGAAACTCTTTAGTGGTACGCACGCATTAGCCCATAGGAGGAACAAACCTACAACCTTTCGTGTCATTTGAAGAACTTGTTGATCTCTCAACCATTCGAATGGAATTCAATGGCTCATAATTTCCAACTTTTGCAGATTCGTGATCTAACTTGAAACTAATCAAATCCGTGTGAAAACAACACTTAAAAGTGTAGAATGACTGCTAAGAATATTCGTATTATTAGTCTGTTTTCACCTGAATCAACTGTTGTGTATGTGTAACACATACATTAGTGCAGAAATCACGTTCAACACAGACTGATAAGCTTATTCAGTAATATTTTCACTAGTTCTATTCTGTCCTCTCCTTACTATAAATATCGCTTGCGTTTCCACACGATGTGACTTCTATCTCATTCAGAATTCCTGCTGAAGTTCAAATTCTCGACTTATATATTATTCTAGATGACGATGATGATAATGATGATATTAGCATTAGAATGTCTACATTATTCCTCTTCGAACTAATCAACACTGCATACCTGGGATCTATGATCAAATTACTTTCAACAGTTGAACTTTACTCACCACCCCAATGACACACACACACACAATCGTTTAGTAACAGTTTTAGTAACAGTGAAAAGAGAATAACAAGGTAGATACATATATTAATAATATTTTACATCAAATCACTATCTGTACAAATTCATATTGCATAAACATCAACACTGTTTCGGTGCTAATTCTCTCAAACGCTTTTTTTCCACTTGTGGTCGCCCAATTAACTGATAAGTTTGACTAGATTCATCAAATGTAAACGTAAATCTTCTACATCCATCAGGCACTTTAAATGAATGTACAGTCTTTAAATGATGAGATATTGTACAAGGTTTACGGCTTTGTATGCTGTGCATATATGACATGAATACCATAGACCATCAGGATTACTACTTAAATGATAACGTCTATAATGACAACGATATCCAGTTAATTTACTTGACTTATATGTACAATTACCGACTTGACAACAGTATAGATAGTCAGTAGTATTTACAACTGTTTTATAATATGGTTGTGAAACACGTTTTCGAGGATTTATAACAGCATTATTTTTCGATGGTTTTGAATTTATTACTTCATCTGTAGTAGTATTAGTATTATTATTATTACTAGTAGAAGTAGTAGTATCAGTAATCTTCATTTTGTTTTTTGACTTGGGACATCCATTTTTATGGGTAGACCAGCATTCTTTTGTTATAAATGCTCTAATACATGTAGGACATCGAAATAAAGCTATGCCTACAAGATGTTTGGGGAAATATTTCGATTCCTCGATAATCTTCAATTCAATTGGACAGTGGTTATCTTCATTGCCTGGAAGAAAAGTAATTTGACTGACACTTATTTTCAAAAAATGCTGATCAGTGAACAAAGAATATGCACAAATTATTAATGATACTAATTGTGTGCTCAAACCTCAATGAGTAGTCTGTGATTCGAATTCGTAACCCGCAGGTCAAATACCAACTGTGCCATGGTTTCACATTCAGTGAACTGAAATTCTTATAATCACATGAAATCATTTATAATAAAGGCTTCATTTTTTTATCGGACCACATTTCCACACAAATCTGAGATACTGTTGTAAAAAATTATATTGTTTTAGATATGAAACAAATAGGGGATTGAAATGGAGTTTCAACAACCACTCACAAAAATGAAGTTGCGGTAGGCAATAAAAATAAATTTAGAATACATATGCACATATACATATACTTCTCGGTAAACTATATTTTAATGAAACAACCCCTTTATCAGACACGAGGCTAGCAACCCCACCCTGTAAACCAAGCTGCTACAGCTACCTCTGTCCGATGAATCTCCTTGCGCCAAAAGAAAAAGTCTGTGTGGGGACATGGAACGTCCGAACCTTGTACAAGATTGGCAAAGCTGCCAGATCGAAAACGAGATGAAAAGATACAGAATTCAAGTACTGGGGATATGTGAAAGCAGATGGGACGGGAATGGACTCGCCAAATAGTCAACGGATGAGTCAGTGATCTACTCCGGTCACCCAGAAGATAACCACAAGCAAGCCGACGGCGTGGCTATCATGATGTCACCAACGGCAACGAAGGCCCTGATGCAATGGGAGGCGAGCTCACCCAGGATAATAACCACCAGATTCAATTCCAAAGGAAGGAAAGTGTCACTTATACGATGCTATGCACCCACAAACAACGCAGACCTCGAAAAGAAAGAATTCTGCAGTTAATAGTGTTCTATGAGCCGGTTTGTTTAGTTGCGAAGCTTTCGTCGTCCTTCTGAACATCTTCAGTGCAGTAGGACGACGAAAGCTCCGCACTAAACCAACCAGCTCAGAGAACACTACTAATTGCGAATCATCCACCTGGGCTTCAAATCTTCTCTATTATTTCAAAGAAGAATTCTACAGACAACTACAGGCAGCAATGGACAATACTCCAGCTGGTGAATTAAAATACTAATGGGAGATATGGACGCCAAACTGGGATCAAACAGCACAGGAAGGGAACTCATCATGGGTAGAGAAGCTCTCGGAGAAATGAATGAAAATGGAGAACTCTTTTCCGACTTCTGCGCCTTCAACGAACTAGTGATTGGTGGCAGTGTATACAAACACAAAGATATCCACAAGGTTACATGGGTGTCATCAGATGGGCAAACCAAAAACCAAATTGACTTCATCTCAATCTTAAGGAAGTGGAGGCGGAGCCTACTGCACACAAAAGTAATAAGAGGAGCAGATGTTGGCTCAGACCACTATCTAGAACAAGGGAAAATCCAAATCAAATTAAAAGCTTTCAGAGAAGCAGGAGTTGTAGATAGACCACAAGCCAAGTTCAACACTCAAAAACTGAAGGACCAAGATACAAAGGACGACTTCACTGCAAGCATAAGGGAAAACGCCGAGACATAAATCAACACTTGCGAAGAGGTCAGCATCGAAAAGCACTGGAACAACTTGAAAACGGTGTGGAGTCAAACCTGCATGGAAGTTTCAAGAAGAAAGAAGAGGTAGGACAAACAGTGGCTCAATACGGACACTTGGAAACTAATAGAAGAGAGAAGGATAGTGAAACAAGAGATTATCCAGAGGACCAACGAGCAACAAAAACAGGAGTTGAATGCAAGCTACAATATGCTGAACAAAAGAATGAAGAAGAGTGCCAGGGAAGACAAAAGAAAATATTATGAAGCCATGGCAATTGAAGCAGAACAAGCTGCAGGCGAGGGAGACCTCGCCACACTCTACCAAACAACTAGGTACCTTTCGGGCAAAAGTTCGACACAAATTAAGTCAGTGAAGGGTGACAATGAAAAGTCAATCACCAAAGAAGTGGAGCAAAGAAAACACTGGGCTGAACACTTCAAAAGACTTCTAAATCGACCGCCACCTACAACGCGCCCAACAATACCAACAACGGAAGCAGAACTACCAGCGAACATCAACCCCCCGACGAAATCAGAGGTCCTGAAGGCAATCAAGATGCTAAAAGCTGGAAAAGCAGCAGGATCAGATGGAATCCCAGCAGAAGCATTGAAAGTGGACCTAGGAACAACAGCGGACTTGATGACGCCATTACTGGAGATGTGGAAAGAGGGCAAAGTACCTGAGGATTGGAAGAAAGGATACTTATTCAAACTACCAAAGAAAGGAGATTTAAGTCAATGTAAAAACTGACGCGGAATTATGCTGTCCATCCCAAGCAAAATACTAAGCCGCATCATCCTGGAGAGAAAACAGAGGTGATGAAGAATCTTGGCCAACAGCAACAACAACAGACAACAATCAGCCACCATAAATGGGAGGAACCTGAAAGAAACAACCTCCTTCACCTACCCACCTGGGAAGCATCGTTTCAACTACAGGCAGAACTGATGAGGATGTTAAAGCAAGACAGGCTTTCATTACTCTCAAGTTTGTGTGGAGGTCAACAGCACTCAACATAAAAAATAAGATCCGGATTTTCAACTCCAATGTGAAGTCAGTGCTACTCGCTATACGGATCAGAGACTTGGCGCGTCATAAAGAGCATCTCAAACAAACTATACACCTTCATTAACAGTTGTCTTCGCTCAATACTCAAGATCAGATAGCCAGCCAGAAAAGATCAGAAACAGGGATCTCTGGGAGCAAACAAACCAGGAACCGATTGCGCGACAAATATAAAGGAAGAAATGCAAATGGATTGGCCATACTCTGAGAAAATAAACCATCAAGTGACATCACTAGACAAGCCATCGCTCGAGTGGAACCCGGAAGGGAAGCGGCGAGTTGGTCGTCCAAGGGTGTGGATGACTTGGAAGAGGTCATGTGAAGAGGAGATGAAAGCATGTGGGCAGACTTGGAGCCAGGTGAAAACTCTAGCAAAGAACCGAACGCAATGGAGACGCGCGGCTGAAGCCGTATGTTCCTCTAGCAATTAAAGGAAACAATAATAATATATACTGATAAGAGCCATTAACGTAGGACTCTGACAAAAAGGCATCAGTTCACATCGCTACACTTCAGAAAATTTGAAAAAGTAAATGTTTATGAAACGTACGCTAAAAAGAATGATCATGCGAAGATTAGTGAGACATTTCACAATCCGGATAGTGAAAAAGAATGGGTAAAGTTAAACTATTATAGCCAAAACTACAGTGACCTTGGTCATCCAATCGGTATTCAGATGCAAAAAGTCGCATAATCATTGAAAAATGCACCAAGAAACACTGCAAACATAATACTACACTATATAGTTGTCGCGTATGCGTTGTGAGAATGTCTCTTAGTCACTACTAAGAAGATATATACAGAAATTACACCGTGCGAGATAGATGCATTCATCCAAATGACTGTAGGTCATGGTACTTTAAGATCAATTGATATTTCTGACATTGTTTCTTAACCCACTCCTGACACTAACCGCAAACCTAACTTTAACCCTAATTCTAACCTTAACCCTACACCCTAAACCTTAATCTCAAAAGTCATAACCCAACCTAACAGTATAGATTTTCAAAGAAAGTAACCAGAGAATAAGTGGAATATTGTATTCACCTCTCCAAGTCCAAAGGAGGAGGTTTGACTTCATAGAGTTCCCTGTATCTGATTGGTTCTTGAAGGGAAACTTTTGAAACACCCTAACTTCGCCAAGGAATGGTTACATCCACGCTCTTCTGAAGAAAACTGAGTCATACCACCAAAAATCTCCAACAATTGATTCTTAACATCCTCAAGACTCTAGCCAAGCAGTCTACACGTCTCTCTATACGTAGCTCGCTCGAACCAACGGTCGGTCAAAGACTTCACGGAGTGGTGCCATATTTTCATCTCAAAACGCTTAACTCCCATCCAGGTTAATATCGATTTTGCTGATATTGAAGACGGAGGTGGCATGGCACGCACATAAGACAGTGCATAAAGCTTCACAATGCCATCGATTGACTTTCTCTCTTCACCTAACATTGCGTCATCACATTACTACTGATCATATTGCTTCATATAACATGCGAGACCAAATGGACACACATTTCGTCAAAAACTATTAACCCTTTCATATCTCCCACTTTCAATTATTATTATATTATTATTGTATCCTTTAGTTCCTAGAGGAACATAGGGCTTCAGCTGAGCACCTCCATTGCCTTCGGTTTTCTGACAACTTTTTCACCCTGCTCCAGGTCTGTCCACATGCTTTCATCTCCTCCTCGCATAACCTCCTCCAAGTCACCCTTGGACGACCAACTCGCCGCCTCCCTTTCGGGTTCCACTCGAGCGATGGCTTGTCTAGTGATGTCACTTGATGGTTTCCTCAACGTATGGCCAATCCATCTCCATTTCTTTCTGCCTATTTGTTTCACTTGACATGTGTCACAAGTTGGAAAACACCGAACCAGCTTATTCTGTTCATACATAAATCAGCACATACATCAGCATATATATATATATATATATATATATGACAAAATTGAATAAAAACTGCAACACTATATTTTTCTGATTGTCTTTACTTTAAATAACAACTTAATATAAGCTCTTACACAACGTCATTAGTTTAAGTATATTGCATTCGTCAACACAAGATACTTCCTTAGAGCCCCTTTCACAAACAGACATTACCACAGCACCTCGCTCAATTGACAAAGCCTTAAGCTCAAGGAATATGGCAGATGTAGGACACCGGTACATCTAATTTGAAAACCTGTCCAAAGGTAAAAATATGTTCAGTACACCCTTGTTAGAGCCTGAAGTTTGGCTGGTTCCCTCGGTTAAGTCTTGAATACATTCGAGGTCACAGTCACGGCAACTTACCACGTAGCTGGTCAACCGATATCATAAGTATTACTGGAATTACTGGATTTTTATTGCTGACATTGTACGTTTCACATATGTCCTAGTCGCAGAAATCCACACTGAAATCCACACCACATATTTACTATTTGTTAAAGAGATGGTTTATAAGAGGTTGACTGAATTCAGATTTTCATCAAGTTATCGGAACCTTAGAAAACCGAGGTGTAGTACACACACCTCCTTTGTATGATATTTTCTAGAATTTTCAGTAGTCCACAGGTCCCCTGGTGTTTCATAATTTATTTCTACTCCAATAGAATCAAACATTATCGCAGTTGGATGCACGTCGACAATCACCAAAACAATTACGCTATTATAAAATATATAAGAATAAAATTCAGGCTCTGTGTGACAGTTAACTCCCAACATGAAATCATTTGGTTTACCAAACAACACACAGTGATACAGTACTATCTACAGGTGACTTTTCGAGAACAATTTATTGCTCATAAGCCCCCCATAAACTACTTAGTAGGCTTTGGTCTCCCTCCTGAAGTGTTTTCATGTGACCACACGTTCCTAGCCTCCACCAGATAGGTCCCACTCCCTGCCCTCATACGGGGTGGATATTCCTCACAAAAGTGAAAAGCTGAATGAAAACGTCTAGCGCCTACACAACCAGACTGCTGTATCTGAACACAGATAAACCTGTTCTGTTCACTGGAAACCATGGAAACACACCTACCGATGCTGCTTTGCTGTCTTTTGGATCAGACATTAGGTCAAGGTTTCGGAGGTCAGACCCTTATGATAACTACTGGATTTAGTCTACGCATCTGGGAAGTACACCAACCCTTGGAAAAACTAGAGATATTATGGGGTGCATCTCTCGGTATCCATAATGTACCAAGTTTGTGTTTTAATAATAAAGTAATGTTGCTTAAAGGCATAGCACAGACTAAACACTAACTGGTGTTCATGCATCAGCGTATAAGTTTAAGAAAAACAACAATAACAATGGAATACCTGGCTCATTATATCGTATCGCATTCTGCTGATCTCCAAGTAAACTCCATATAAAATGTTCTTTGAAATTAGCAAACTCTGTAAAACAAGTCAGACAGCTAGAACAAATGTAATTTGGTAATCCAGTATGACGACGCACATGATGACGAAGTACCGGACGACGATTACATACAAAGTTACAAGTATTCAACTGTGTTGAATTATTTCTTTTATCATTATCTAATGATTGCCATAAACAAATTAACTGAGAACTATCTTCATGGCGTTCATCATCACCATAGTCATGGCGTTCATCATCACTATCGTCATCGTCATTATCATCATCACTATGCTTGTCCGAATAATCATGCTGAAAAACATGATCTACATATAAGACGGCTACATCTGTACTGAAAAAAGAAAAAACAATTTTAAAGAAAATAAATAAATGAACAAAACCGATATCATCATAACTATTAACTAAAATTATGAATGGAAAAAATTGAACTCGGGAGTCGACAGAAGGTAGAATTCACGGGTCACTGGATACAGAGCCAAGTGGCTGAATAGTCAATGACCTTGGCCTGTGTAACCTGAAGGTCATGGGTTCGCCCCCTAGGGGTTCGCGGGCACTTACCACTGAAGAGTCCGAACTAGGACAAATCAACTGCCCAGTACTTCTTGGTTTTCAATGGTTCTCTAACTGGTATCAATACGTGACCAAATTTGAAGGAAATCATAGATAATAATGGTTAGTTAAACACTCAGAAATGCAGAACACACTGTTCATATACTAGTGTAACGAGAGCAGATAACAGACTGCATAACGCAAGTTTATTAAGAAAAAGCACAGCATATTTATACTTTCTTAACCACATTAAGTTTGCCTGGATAAGAAAAGAACAAATCATTCGGATTGGTTGGCAATTGGCCCAAGATTCGACAAGTTGTCCAATAATAGCATTTCATGTCCACAAAGTTAACCAAATCGAGATTTACGGAATAGACACTTCGTCCTCTCCAGCCATTGAGTTAAAATGTTCGCTTCAATTTTCGCCGCTTCCTATCAACCTGCATTACGCCACACTAGGTTATCGGTTATACACTTCATGACTAAACGTTGATGCTACTATGCAGATGATAGGATTGAAGTTGGTGAGAATGGATTCGAACCCAGAGTTCTACTACCTGGAATTCCACAGATTAAGTCAATCAGGCACATGTTAACCGATTTTAGTATAAAGCAGTAGCTCAGAGAAAAGTCAGCTCTTGTCCATCCAACAACACAGGGTCATGCAATACGATAGAGCAGACCTACAGTCCCAAGAGATAACATGATTCACTGAGGTGAAGGGGCAGTTAGTCGATGAATGAATTCAAATTCATTCCACTACTAGCCACCGCCAACCAAATTACAACAAGAAAAAATATATATGCGTTCGTAAAAATATGATTTAATTGTCTTGAAATGATGACAACAAATACAGAGCGTGATGATGCCTTATAGAACTCGGGTTATCCACATAATCAATTGAGGTGGAGGTGTACCATCATAACCCCAAGCATCAAGGATACAGGTTGTGCTTCTTAGATCCCAGTTTCGATAACTACATACTATTAGAACACCTCACATAAAAAGCATGACAAACAGACTGGTGAATTATCATATATACCGTTAATAAGATACACTAGTCAACTAACTACGACTACAGTGCTCACGGATTTCATCCATGACATCTAATAGTGATCGTCCACTGCGTCCTTCTTTACAACTGCTTATTGCGACCGTCGAAAATTAAAAGATATAGGGAGGTTAGCAGTCTCTTATCATAGATGTCTGCAGTCTATCTACAGTGCTATGTGGCATAGTGCGATGGGTAGTAATGAGACCAGTTGTAGTGTTAGGTAATGAGGGTAAGTTAATAGATGTAGTTATGAAGCCACATCTATTGAGGCAACTAAGAAACGTGTTACGCATGGCAAGCCATAGTCTTCCTCGTCGAGAAATATTGGCTAATATAAGATTGGATTGGAAAAGAATCAGGGTGCCCGGCCGACAACTGCTACCTTGCCGTGGTGGTCGAACTTGCATACCGCAGTGGCCCATCAAGCTAAACTGACTGGAACTCATGTCCCTACAGGTCCTACAATGTCAGGAAGGTTGTTTGGATAGCGGTAAGACTAGAAGAAGTTACCATGGGGTACAAGGGCCCCAGAATCCAATCTGATCAAATGGCGTATGAACTCATATGGGTCACCGGAAACCATGGGAATGCAGCTCCTGACGCTGCTCCGCTGCCTTGCGGATTAGACTCCAAGTCAAAGGCTCGGGGGGGTCCCTTAGGAAACCACCTGCTTCGGTGTAGGCGCCCGGGTAGTATCTCAGCCCTCGCACAACAAATGAAATAAAACAACAAACTATTATTGAAACTCTCTGCACGCTCGTAAAAATGATTTCAAGTAATAACGATGCCTCAAACAACTTATGTCCTCTCAATCTTACTTTTATTTTTATACTTAGATTCCTGTATTTTACCTTTGTTAACCCTGACTTCTTAACCTTCGACGGCCTTTCGCCTTTGTCTGGATTCCCAGCTTATCTGTGTCGTTTCGAGATGTTAGTGAGTAACCCTCCAAATGGTTGTCCTCAATGTGACATCCAACACAGATATCCTGAAACCGTGTGCCGCGTTCAAGCTGGCCACCTACAATATTCGGACGCTGATGCAAATCGGAAAACAGGCAGGGTTGGTAAGAACACTGAAAAGCCTGGCTATCGATGTCTGCTGCATTACGGAGACCCGCATTCAAGATCCCAGTGAAGTGCTTCGATTATCCTTTCCATCTGGAATTTCTAGTAGTATGTACCACCTGCGCTTGTCCGCGGACCCTGTGGCGTCGGCATCCGGCGTAGCTGGCGTCGGTGTCACACTGAGCGCTAGAGCCGAAGCTGCATTGCTCGACTGGATTCCCATTAACAGTCGTTTATGTGCTGTGAGGCTGGAAGGTTATACGAAAGTAAGGAGTAGTAGGCCAGATAGGCGGTGTCTATTTGTTGTCTCTGCCTATGCACCGACGGATTGCATCCCGGATGCAATGAAGAATGAGTTCTACCACCAACTGAGCGATCTCTTGAAACAGGCAGGTCGGAGAGATGTCGTAGTGCTGGCTGGGGACTTGAATGCACAAATTCGGCGTCTAAGCTCAGAGGAGAATCGCCTAGGTGGTCAATGGGGCCTGCATGGTCACAGACCAGATAATGGGGACCGTCTTCTGCAGTTTTGCGCGGATCACAACCTATTTCTATCCAGCACCGTAGTGCTACCTGGCGTCCTCCCTCTGAGATTCAAGCTTGGTTTCAGATTGATCATATTGCTGTCAGTTTCCGGTGGCGAGGATGCATACAAGACTGTCGCTCCTTCTAGAGCACATACCTGGAATCCGATCATGCGTTAGTGTGTGCCAAGTTCGTCTTGCGATTTGGTGGGGTTCATAAAAGGCGTCGTCTAAACGTTGATGTGAGCAAACTAGTAGCACCTGCTACTTTGAAATACCAGAATGAGTTACAATCAATGCTTGCCAGCAACCACTCAAGTAGTATAGATGAACATTGGCTTCATGTGCAAGTTGCCATGCAAAGGGCGAGTGTAGCCGCTTGCAGCTTGAGAGAATGCTGCGCTAAAAACCACTGGCTTTCTGCGAGTTCCTTGCAACTCCTGGATGAACGCCGGTCCATTCCGGCTGGCCGCGAATACAACAATAAGCGAAAGGCGCTCACGCGCAAGATTAGACAGTGTTTACGTAAGGACCGCGAAGCCTGGTGGTCAGAACGTGCGTGTGAGATGGAGTCAGCTGCTGCGTCTGGCAACAGTCGGAAGCTGTTCCAACTCATTCGAGCCACCGGCAGCAAGAAACAAGGTGTCAGCGAGACGGTCTGTGAGGCAGATGGCACGCCAATTACCAGCCTGAAAAGACGCCTGGAACGCTGGGCAGAGCACTTCGGGAAGCAGTTTAGCTGGCCACCAGCTTCAGTGTCTACTATCATTAGCCCGAGTGCTCCTTGGTCGGTTAGTAACGAACCACCCACCGAAGCGGAGGTCCGTAAGGAACTCCAAGTGTTGAAACGCCATAAGGCGCCCGGCCCAGACAATCTACCCCCGGCTCTTTTTAAAGATGGTGGCGAGACTCTTACAATGGCTCTAACTGGGTTGTTCAGGAAGGTATGGGAGACTGAGAGTGTACCATCAATGTGGAACGAAGCCATTATCATTCCCATCTTTAAAAAGGGTCGACGTAATTCGTGTGACAATTATAGGGGTATCAGTCTGCTACCAGTCGCGTCTAAAATATTATCTGCCGTCTTGCTTCGCAGGCTGTGCAAAACAAGAGGAATTGATTCGCGAAGAGCAGGCCGGGTTTCGTTCAGGTCGTGGATGCATTGACCATGTGTTCACCCTTCGTCAGTTGTTGGAACACCGCCACACGTATTGCAGGCCAACGATCGTTGTGTTTCTTGATATTAGGGTTACCTTCGATTCGTTGGACAGAACTGTGCTCTCGAACTGTCTGTTAGAGAGAGGTGTACCTGAGAAATTTGTTAACATCTTAAAAGCCCTATACAGAAACACCTCAGGTAGAGTGAGGGCATACAACCAACTATCATCACTGTTCCCAACCAACAGTGGGGTTAGACAGGGTTGCCCAATCTCTCCATTTCTCTTTAACTTTGCCATCGATGACATTCTGGAGTCAGCTCTGAAGGATGTGTGTGAAGGTGGTGTAGATCTGCTACCTGAAGATAGACTTTTCGACCTCGAGTATGCAGACGATATCGTCGTACTGTGCGATAGCATGCAGGCTACCCAAATTGCACTTAATCAGTTGGCGGTCGACGTCTGTAAGTATGCTATGTGCTTTGCGCCGTCTAAGTGCAAAGTACTGTTACAAGATTGGCAGGAGCGTGTACCTGCACTTATTCTTGTGGGTGAACCGCTTGCAGTTGTTGATAAGTTTGTGTATCTGGGTGGTTGTGTGAGCGCTGGCGGAGGGGTGACGGATGAGATTTCCAACCGTATAATGAAGGCTAGGGTGGCATACATCAACTTGAGCCACCTCTGGCGCCGTTGCGACGTTAGCCTGGCTGTCAAAGGTCGGGTATACATTGCCTCGGTGCGGGCTGCCCTGCTCTACTCCTGTGAAACCTGGCCCCTCCGCGCTGAGGATGTGTGGCGACTCGGTGTGTTCGGTCATGGCTATCTCCGCAGGACTGCTTGCGTTGGACGGAATCATCGCATGAATAATTTTGAGGTTCGGTGGCGTGTGTTTGAACACAGTGGAGATCACCATTCACTGAGTGTCGTCATCTGGAAACACCGGCTGCGTTGGCTTAGATATGTGCTGCGAGTGTCATCCCAGAGGCTTCCGTACCGGTCTCTGTTCGCTAGCTAGCCCTGGGACGAAATGGAAAAGGCGGAGAGATGGTCAGTCCATGACGTGGCGCCGTGGGATGAAGGATGTTTGTGCTAGATTAGCATCGGTTGGTGCGTCACAACTCTCTGGTTGGAGTCCGCAAGACAGCTCGCATCGATGGCTCGAAACGTTATCGGATATGGCCAAGATTCGTAATCAATGGCGAACGTGCTGCAATTTCTTTCTTTCTTCCCTTCCCGATGGTAGTTAACGAATACTGTTTGAAATTGTTAAGCATGACTGTTTTCCTTCCAGATGAAGTTCTTTATCCGTTCTTCACTTATATTTTTTTCACTTTTGATCTATGTTGTATTATTATTATTGTGTGGCGCATCCTTCTTGGTGCCACACTATACCAAGTTTTTTTCTGCGTTTAAATAAGTAAATAATAAATAAGGGGTAATTAAATCAAAACCTACCATTCATCACAATCAAGTGTCTTGGACTTTTGATTCGATCCAACCACGTCAAAAGGTGTAGACTACCTGGCTGAAGGAATAGAGACGCTCAGAACCAATGGTTTGAGACAATTGGTGAAGTAGCACAAAATTGTTCTCAGTGGTGCAGGAGTGAGTATTCACGCTTTATAAACTCCCAGATCCACTAAATTCTCATTATATTTCATGCAATTATTTTCTTTTTTCGCTCGTAAACTTCTATTTACGATAGTACATGTGCATTTCTTTCCTCAATTTTATCACCATTATTTGCGCTTTTATACAGTTTGACAATTTGAACTGCTAACATGATTGTGCATAATTCTACGTTGAAAATACAGTCAATTAGTCAGTCAGCAGATCAATCGCATATGAAAAAGAAACATCGGCCAATGAATTTCTATTAAATAACTCAATTAGGTTTTTAACTTCATCTATCCTCCCTCTAGGGATTATAGATGCAGATTACAAGGAATTGCGTGAAACTATATCGAATAAAACACTTATTATAACTGATGCTGAATTTTCAATGATTCACTGACTGACCTCGACACACAACAATAATAATAGTAACAAAATATGAACTCTAATAATAACAGCATAAAACAATTAAATTAAATAAACCAACAGAATTTACACGTAATGACAATCTTTCCATTGACAACGGAAACCTTCCTGTAAAATTACAGGATTTGATAAGAATGTGTCTGTTGATCGTTGACGATAAGCTGGTTTTTGATAACTGGGTCCAGAGCAGACAAAACTCCATGTTTCATGATGAGATTTAAGTAGTTTATTGGTATTAACTATACAATCTTCAAAAAATGCATGTAACAATGCATGACGTAATAATTGCAGATGATCTTGAAGAGTATTCATTTGACAATCATTCCATAAACAAATATGCGTTGCATATTTTATATGACATCTCATTAAATGAACATGAAGACGAGTATAATTAGGGAACAACTGATTGCAATCACCCCATTTACATTTAATGAATAATTCATCATCTGGAAGAAATAATAAGAATAATTAAAGTCAACTCACAATCTCGAGTTGCTCAAATAATTTGTTCTAGAATAAAAATTCTCTCGACGGTTAATTTGTACGGATTCGATTTACCTCAAGTAGGATGTGTATTAGAGAAACAGTGAAAATCAAGGAGTCCCGGATAGCCGTTTCGTCCTAGCTCGGGAATCATCATCAGCACGCAACCATGACCTCATCTGACATCGAACTCACCATGACGTTTGGGGTTACATGGTCAAACTTGCTGACCATTCAGCCGCTTATAACAGAATCTAATGGCCCACAAATTCTAACTCCTGTCGATTCGCGAGTTTAGTGCGACCGCGAGTATTTGTCTTCACACCCGACCTGACAGACACCACTGGTCATGATGTCTAACTAGAACTTCAAGCAAATTCATACCGTAATCAGTAGCTAGCGAATACCAGATTCATATTCAAAATTTAGTCTGCGGGGTTTGATTTGTTTCAAGTTTGGTCATGGATTGATATCACATAGAGAACCAATGAAAACCAAGGAGTGCTAGACAGCTGGTTCGTCCTAGTTCGAGACTTCAACGTAAAGAGCCCACAACCCCATACGCGATCGAATCCGAGACCTCTCAATTATGAGGCCAAGCTTGTTAACAATTCAGACAATTAGGAATCCGATGGCCGATGAACCTTAACTTCTGTCAATAAAATATGTGATATATATTTATTCTTCCTCTTTATGGATTTTTCATGAATTTGAATGAAGCAAGAACAACCGTGTGTGCAGAATAAGATGGTACCATCATTCCATTGACCTCCCAGCAGCTGCATACAGTCTAAGGAAATTTTTACATTTATATACAAATAATTTAAACATACTTGCAAACGTTACATAATGTCAGTTGATAAGACTTCAAGCTTAGCAAACGGTGCTCAGATAATGGCACTTATAGTTTATACCCATAAGTTTAAACAAAACCTTGCATACAATGACAAGAGAGTTAAGCAATAAAGACAAGAGGTGAATAAAATGATGAGGGACTGGTGATTTGAGCAACAATATGGTGAACTCAATTTAAATCATGAAAACATGAGACAAGCAAAGTTACACTGTATCGAAGAGGGGAGAGGTTAAACCCAAAGACTACGTAATCAAACGAAAGACAGAGATAAAGAGGTCAGGTTACTAGGTCACGGAATGACTGATAAATGCTTCTTTCTGAACACATAAATCGGGTCTCAGGCGTTTGATGGCAGTTGCTTCGGCAAACTTGAAGGGTATTATTCAACTATTTTGTTTATTGATAATTTCAAAGGATTTAGTGAGATTATGTCTGCTAATGGCACCATTGTAAACCTTTGTTTCCTTGAGAATTAAGCTTTTTCGTACATGTTTAGAAATCGGTGTGCCCTTTTTCTGTTCTCCCAATCCAACTGCTTCCGCAGATACACGGTTAGAGTTAACAATGGAAAGGTATCTGGCGAATTTTGAGTACACCAAAGAGCATGGGGACCGAAAAACTAGAACAGACTTGGCTGCAGGATTGATTCTAGCTAGTGAGGCAATCAATCTTCTGCTTACTATTCCGCAATATCATTACCTTTAAAGTCAAGTTGGATGAATATGAATTTCCCCCCACCCCATCATAATTTGTTTGGTATTTGAATCTTCCCATCTTCTGTACTTGTTGTTATGAATGAATTCCTGAGAGTAACTGGTGTTGCTCAACGTCTTTTCGAGAATCAGAAATTCTTCTTCTAATTTCCCTGTAGAGCATATTCTACTGACTCTGTTAAACAGAGTTTTGATCAGGGTTCACTTATAGCTTTTCGAACAACTGACATCATACAACCTATGCAAGTATTTCAGAAATGTTCTGTACATAAAATTAATAATTTCTTTCGGCTGTAGGCAGATGATGAGAAGCCAACGAAGCGAATAATAGTGCCATCTTATCTTCTGCACAAACTGTTGTTCTTGTTTTATTTAAATAAAATATCTCAAAAACAGAACACTTTTATTGTATTTTTACTACTTCAGTGAGTGACTCTTAAAGTGAGACATACTGAAATTCTCCACTTTTGTGCGAGGTTCTACTTTGATAAGTCCGTCATTTCAGTCACACAAACAAGAATCATCTCCCATGAAATGTTACTCAACATCCACTTGCAATTCCATGCAGATGACGAGTCACACATATTGTGTGAGGGATAGTGAGACTGCCAGGCTACTCAAAGCTTGTTAGGTAGTGGGGATTTCCAACCTGTGATCCACTGATTGGAATTCCAGCGCCTAGACCAATGGAGCTACAGCTTCGCTCACCTCACCATAGTAACTGAAAGTATCCAAATCGTAGGACATCAGCTGTTTTACACTACAAATGACGGCAAGATTACGGGCGTATGAAGCTATACAATATACATCACTGATTCCCGACTGATAGCTGCTATCTTGACGTGGTGGTCGGGCTTGCACATTGCAATGAACCACCAAGCCACACTGGCTGGAACTATTGTTCCTGCAGGTCCTACCATGCCAGGAAAGTTGTTAGGATAACAATTAGACTAAAAGCAGTTACCGGTATCGTGTAAGGATTTTTTCACACTATGCTGGGGTCTGTGAGCGAAGACGTATTACTTAGAAACAAGGTGTAACAGCAGTGAGGTGTTTCCCTCAGATGACCAGAATGCCAGCCATGTATGCTGTCTCTCCACTCTAAAGAGACGGGGTTGCAAATGGTCAACCCCAACAATTGTACTTCCCGACTTACCCTACGGTGATCCGTAACCGGCGGTAAGTTTACTAATACGGAACCAATCCCAGAAACAAGTTCATACAGGCCGTATGTGACCGGCCTCAAGCAGTTGTCCCCTGAGCTATGCAGTCACGCAACACTAACCCTCTTTCTCTTTCAGGTACCCGAAGAATCAACCAACTTCCATGATGTGAGCAGCCGGGAAGTAACAAACACCCACACACTTCCAAGAGCACACAAAGCCTCCTCGAGCATCATTCTCCTTTACCCACATCACCTTCATCATCTCACTCCCCCACTTCAGTTACTACTATTCTTCAGACATTACTGATTGATAAGGTCAGATGTATGCCAATCATTAACAGTGCTTCACCTTGACACAATAGTAAGTTACCTCTCACACAACGCAAATAAAGAAATAGAAAGAAAATTTTGAATTCATTTACAAAACAAACTATGCAATCACAAGACAGAAGAAAATTCGAGCAAACAATATTCTTTCGGATAATTTCCTCTCCTGAATTTACAATTATGCATGCATATATATAGGATATTCTAGAATTATCGTCATTAACAACATTGGTGCTTTTAGGTGATATCTATTGGTTAAGATCACAATGAAATTACAGTTCCACAAGGATGTATAAGTTATAATGAGCATAGAAATGGGATAGTAAATAGAATATCAAATAAAATTAAGGAAATCTCTGCAAAAAATTAAGGACTTGAATTCCCTTTTGTCTTCAAAAGGTCTGAATGAATATTTTTGCTACATTCAGTTATCGGGAATAACATGAAGAAATTAACGATAATTGCATGGGTAACTTACTATATTTTACAACGTTATCGGTTATGGATTTCATCTTCATCGTTTTTAATCAATAAACCATAGAAGTCTGAAAAGGAATCACAAGCGTACTTAGTAATACAATATTATACTATATATATATACTCATTATGATAGCCGTTGTTCATACCAAAAGGCCGCCTTTATTCAACCGATAATATTAGGCAAAGTAGGACTAGTGTGAGAAACAGGCTGTAGTGATTGAACAAAGACATGGCAGTCAACCCGAAGGGACCACTGACTGGTGACCTCAGACGTGTGGGTCACGTCCTCGAAATGCTACAGAACTCAAGTGATATGGCTCACGATCAACCCCTGTGATGCATATGTTTCTGCAGTCTATCTTTTCAATATCACAGGTCTTTACTTTTTTTAGAGTACTCCACACCTTTTAGTGATATCATTCTTGCTCGTTTTACTTTAGATTATTTTCTCTTTCATATGACAATTGGGAGTAATTTGATTTAGTGGCAAGTCCTGTGATGATTCTATTATTCTTTCGATTTCTATGATAAAGTAAGTAACATAAGTCTAAAATTAAAACGTTTCGTCAATTTCAAAAGTCACATAATCCGTTGATAATACCTGATAGTTAATGAACACTCATCATCAAGATAACTTCATACAGCACTAGCTCAAGAAACAAGTTAGTGCTATCATTCTATTAACTTCCAATGACAACATCCACCGGCTGTTTTTTAATATTTTCTCTCAGAAATTTAGTGTTAATCCATTTCCATATTTGTGTAGTCTACTCCGTAGGATTTTAATGCCTCGAAGCGCCTTCTCTCTGGAAAGTAATACGTAAGCAACATACAGAAGTAATGCTTTTCATTCTAAATATGGCAGACACAGTTATAAATGCCAGTTTTAGTTAGCAAATCTATTTACATCAATCATATCGGCTTTTGTGTTTTAAGATAGAAGCAACACTTTCACCACATTGGACTCAGGATTAAAAAGCAGTTTAGCCTATTTTCACGTAAGTACCACTTTCTCTACAGTCTGTTAAGTTCTTAAATGGTCGGAGACAAGAAGCAGAAAGCCCTGCCACCAGATTTCGCACTCGTTGGCACTCCTCAGTGGTGTGTATCTGCAATCTTGAAGGAACTCACATACCCTCCCAGATTCAAACCAGGGTTAGAGAAGTTACCACTGAGCTATTCGCAGTTGACCCCATGTACGACTGTAAAACATGCTTTGATAGGACACTAGAAACGCCTTGTTGACAAGTATCAACAAGAAAGAGACTAAAGTTCAAAGTTTTCTGCTGATGGCTTCCAACCATTTAACAATAATCCAGAGACGCTACATTGCAAACGTGATTGATAAAATTCAGTCTGCACTGAAAACGGGGTACTGGACGCATAACATTAGTTACTGCCTAGGATTAACTCAAAGTCCCTTAGGCTAGGCATGAACGGACAGATAAAACACATGAATCATAGATATGATGTACTTACCAGAACATTGTCAAAACACTAACTAGAATTTTTACATTCACTCTGAATTCACCACATAATAAAAATGACAAACAGCAAATCTTTTAAACTGTACCAAGTACTTTACATAAGTGGAATCCCTACACATGAATTCTGAGAAACAAACTGAAAGCTTGTGTCACAAGGCTATTTGAAATACCAAAACAAAAAACGGCTACTATATATATATATATATATATATGCTAAGGAATTAAGTGACGATTTAAATATCTGAATTGATATGTGGCTTTTCTATATTGACCATGAAAAATTCATTTACACATGCGGTTCCAAAGAAATGAGAATCCACCGAATGTTTTCAAAACTGCTTGCAGCTGAAAGGCTTATTCGGTATTTACCAACTCACACCACCTCTGACGTCGATGACAGGTCTGACTACGTATTAAGGAGTGAATGTTCTGAGCAATAGCCTACGTTACTATTCTACAGCGACACAATAAGAAATTTTAAGTTAGAAAACAATGTTGTACGTCTCTATTGCACAGCCGTAGATTATATAAAATTCCCATTATATAGATAACTGGAGTCTCCCCTGACTGAAGTGTCTGGGAAATCAGTTACAATTGATGAATTATAGATTTTCTAGATAAACTGAAACAATTACTATCTGTCTGTCTGTTTTCGATATAGAACTTTGCACATATGTGCACCAGTTCAAGTCGCCACACTCCATGTAGCACGCGAAGCAAGAGAAGAAAGTACAAGAAAAGCATAATAGAGACAGTGAGCAGAGGTGTGAGACAAAGGAATAGTAGTAAAGAAGATCAATATAGTTTCACTGGAAATCATAAGTCACAAAGAGTGGATGCGTCTGCGCTAGCCATTGAGGACGACTTTGAGCCATGTCACCAATTGTTTCCAACCACTGGTTTTTACCGAAAAGTACTATGGCAATGTCTGACTGTGAAGGGAGTGCCAAGAAAGTACATTGCACTAATTAAGGCACTCTATTCAAACTCACGTAGTCGTGTAAGGGCTTATGGGGAATTGTCATCTGAATTGGTAACAACCAGTGGTGTCCGACAGGGATGTCCACTTTCCCCATTTCTGTTTAACTTCATCATAGATATGCTAATGGAAGTATCCTTAACTGAACGTAGTGACTTAGGAATCGACTTGTTACCAGGGAATAATCTAATGGACTTAGAATATGCAGATGACATAGTCCTGTTAGGGGAGGATGCTGACAAAATGCAGAGTCTTCTGAACACCTTGAGCAGCAATCTTCGTATGTTTGGCATGCGATTCGCCCCTGCAAAATGTAAGATGCTGCTACAGGACTGGACGACGTCAACCCCTAACTTAGTGATAGGGAGTGAAGTGATAGAACATGTTGACCACTTCACCTACTTGGGAAGTTGTATCAGCACCAACGGACTGATTGGCGATGAAATCTCAGCACGGATCCGAAAAGCTCGAGCTGCTTTCGCTGACTTACACCATCTCTGGCGTAGGCGTGACATCCGGTTATCAACCAAGGGACGTGTGTACTGCTCATCAGTTCGCTCCGTCCTTCTCTATGGCTCTGAAACATGGCCAATACGCGTTGAAGACATGAAAAGGTTGACTGCTTTCGATCATAGATGTCTGCGATCTCTGTCTCACGTTAGGTGGTTTAATAAGGTAAGTAATGTTGACGTTAGGCGTAGAGTGTTGGGCAAAGAGGGAAAATCAATCGACGAGGTTATAAAGTTACATAGACTAAGATGGCTAGGTCACGTGGTGCGCATGCCTAACCACCGCCTCCCCCGACGGGCATTGTTAGCTGATATAGGTTCAGGTTGGAAAAGAGCCAGTGGTGGCCAAACAAAAACATGGCATCAATCCATGAAATCCTTGACAGTTAAACTGAGTCAGGTAGGGAGATGCAGACTCCCGGGTTGGGGCCCTCGCGACTCTAGGAATCAATGGCTGGAGACAATAGGTGACATGGCTCAAAATCGTTGTCAATGGCGCAGATGTATTCAATCTCTGTAATCTTTCATATTCCTTTCTACCATTACCCATTCTGTTTCACTCTTATATTTGTCAAACTCTATTAATTCTCTTCACTCATCTTCTTGTCTACCTCTGTGTGCTATTTGGAACGTGGCAACTCGAACTGCTGCACTTCGGTGCCAAGTTCTATGTTGAATCCAGACAGACAGACAGACCGTCCCGAGGACCCCAACCAGGAAGTCTACACCTTCCTGTGAGCATTGACTAACTGTTGTAGATTTCGTTGACTGGTGCCATGATTTTTTTTGACCTCCGCTAGCTTTTTTCCAGCCCGATCCATCCTATGTCAATCAGCCTGTCAATCGCCTGTTGTCGAGGAAGGGATGACTGGGCATACGTAACACATGTCCTAACCATCTTAGTCAATATAGCTTCACAGCCTCATCTATTGATTTCCCCTCGTCAAATAGCACTCGACCGATGCCTTACCTCAACATTGCTCACCTTATTATGCCACTTCACACCGGAGATAGAACTCAGGCACCTATGATCAAAGACAGCTAGTCTTTTCATGTCTTTCACTCTCAGTGGCCAGGTCTCGCAGCCATAAAGGAGGACGGAGCGGACTGATGAGCAGTACACCCGCCCTTTGGTCGATAGTCGAACATCTCGTCTACGCCAGAGACGGCGTAAACTAACAAATGCGAAACGAGCCCCTTGTATTCGTGCTGAGATTTCGTCAGAGATCAGCCCGTTGGGGCTGATGGTACTTCCCAAATAAGTGAAGCGGTCAACGTGCTCTACCACTTCACTCCCTATTTCTAATCTAAGAGTCGGTATAGTCCAGTCCTGTAACATCATCTTGCATTTGGCGGGAGCGAATCGCATGCCAAACATTCGTAGATTGCTGTTCAAGGTGTTTAGAAGACTCTGCATTTTGTCAGCGTCTTCGCCTAGAAGGACTATATCGTCTGCATATTCTAAGTCAACGAGATTATTCCCTCCCTGGTAGCAAGTCAATCCCTGAGTCACTGAAGTCACCTAGGGTTAAGTCCATTAACACATCTATGATGAAGTTGAATAGAAAAGGAGATAATGGGCATCCTTGACGGACACCACTGGTCGTCATCAGTTCAGATGACAGCTCGCCGTAAGCCCTCACCTGGCTGTATGAGTACGAGTAGAGTGCCTTAATCAGTGCAATATATTTTCTTGGAATTCCCTTTACAGCCAAGCATCGCCAGAGAACTTCCCGATCGACAGAGTCGAAAGCTGCCTTTAGGTCAAGAAATATAATGACTGTTGGACGCCGGTAGGAATTCCTATGTTCTAGAATCTGTCGGAGGGTGAAGATGTGATCAATACACCCTCTTCCTGGTCTAAAGCCTGCCTGGCTCTCTCGTGTTTGTGCTTCCCGGGCACCACTCAGTCTACGCATGATTATTGAGCCTAAGACTTTAGATACTATATTAGTCAAGCTAATCCCTCTGTGATTATTACAGGAAGACTTGTCTCCCTTCTTGTATATGGGGATAATCAGTGACTTACACCAACCCAATGGGACTTCCCCTGATTCGCAGAC